CTAGTGCCCTCTGCAGTCCAGTCACCTTCCACAAGCTCCAGCCCTGAACACGTGAGACTGGGGGAGGGGGGCTTTCCACACTTCAAACATAAGAAAAGTAGAAGAATTTGAGCCAGCTTGTCTGCCAACAGAGATAAACTTAACCACAGCCTTACCAGCCAGACAGGAGGGCGAGTTCAATCCTTGGAGCAGCCCAGCTGCCTGGTAATTATTGACCAACAAACATTTATTGAGTATGTACTGGCAGCCAGGCACTAGGAGAATTTAGAGATAAAAAGGTAGCCAAAGGGCCAGCAAGATAGCTCAGCGGACTAAGCGCCTGCTCAGGCAAGTGCAGGGACCAGGGTTCTATTACTGACACCGCATGCTACCCTGGCCCCACTCCCAGGCCCACTGAGCCGGCCACCGAGACCGGGAGTGGTGGCGTACACCTGTAATCCCAGCACAGGGGAGGCTATAAACAGAAGGATCACTAGGAGTTTGAGCTGTGTAGCGAGACCCTGTACCAAATACATTAAAACATTTTTAAAAGGTAGCCAAGTGCCCTTTGTTCTCTACAGGAGGCTACAGCCTAGTCCTGGGTTCTGCACTCACTGCAGGTCAGCATCTCCTGAGGAATCCAGAAGGCTCCATGCCCCCCTGCCCCAGGCGACTCAGTCAGGGCCTCTGAGTGGGGCACAGGGCATTTCTGTTTTAGAAAATCCCCAAGAAGGTCTAATGAGTGCCGAGCTTAAGGGCCAGAATTAAGGCCATGCTTGGACACCAAAGAGACCTGGCAAGCTGAGAGAATGCCCCTGGGCTGGTTGGAGGACGCAGAGGCCCTGGAGAATTTGGAAAGAGGACCGCTGGCATCAGGGGTCTCACAGGGCCAAGGCTGTGTGTTTGTAATTATTCATGCAACAAACCTGAGCTGGCAGAAACTCAGGCTTTAGCAGTCTGTGGTATGCAGTCTCTGAGGTCTGTGGAGATGATCTTTCACACTCCATGACATGGGAGCTTCTGTGGGGAGCCCTGAAAGGACTGGGCCTTGGGAGCCACTGTGCTTCTCTGGCCCTTGGGCAGGCACGGGCTTGGACAGGTACTAGCTAGGCCTGGGGCAGAGCCTGGGAAGGATGGGCCCCCAGCGAGAGCTCCACCAGGCCCCTCACCCTGAACTCGGCTCCACGGTCCTGAGGGGTCTTCCCGTCTCCTGCCAGAACTCCAGCCTGCTGCCCGCCTGTCCAGTGGGAGAAAGGAGATTGCAGGTGATCAGCGCTTCCATCTTCCCCTCCTGGGAGTACACAGGAGGCTGTCTTGGTCCAGGAGAAGAGACAGGTGAAAGCTAGGGAGGAAGCCCAGGGAGCGCCCTCTGCTGGGCCATGAACATGGCTGGATCAGAAATGGCCCACCGCTCCTCGGGTACTCACTCCTGGCCTCATGCCCAGCCCTTACCTGGGGTCACCCAATGCTGAGGCTGCAGGAGGCACAACCAGACCTGGCTGGGGCGTGGGCCCCGTGCGTTAGCTTGCTGTGCACAGAGCACTTGTTCTCTTGGTTTTGTTGTAGGTTCAGAAAGGCTGAGTCATTTGTGCAAGGTCACACAGCCCCCGCGGACTCCAGAACCGGTGCACTGGGCTCTGGACATTTACTCCTGCATCTGGCCCATGGGGCTGCGCTGGTGCCTCCAGCCCTAGCAGCTCCACGTCCTGCTTCCCATTTGGGGACTGAGTGTGGCTCCTCAGAGGCTGTGCAGGTGCCTGAGACACCCTGGCACCAGGGAAAGAGCACGACCTATGGGTCACATCCGGCTCTGCTGTGTGGTCCTGGGCCAGTTACCTTGCCTTTCTGCGCCTCAGTTTCCAGCTCTGCCAGGTAGGGATGGTACTCTGGCAGGGTGGCCTGGGGCCCTGAAGGCCTGATCCACACCCTGAGTGGATTGGTTACCCACCAAGTCAGGAGTCCCCAGGTGGGGTGGGTCATAGAATTGTTAGATTGTGGGTCCCAAGGTACAGGTCTGCTAACCCCCCAATTCTCTGACCTCTCACTCTTCCACATAAACTCCTCCCATTAAGGAAATCCAGGCACCCCCATGACAACAGGCATCTCCTGAGGAAGAGGCACAGCGCTTCCCTTGTTGATTTGCACACATTCTGCAGTGCTGGGGATGGGACCCAGGGCCTTACACGTGCGAGACAAGCGCTGTGCCATGGCGTGGCGTCTGGGCCCAGTGACTCCTTTCCCAGGGCTCTGCAGGGCAGTGAAGGACTCGAGTGTGTGTGTCCCTGCAGCTCTGTTTAGTCCCCCTGCGTGGCGGGCTGTGCATGTCTGTGCTGCGCGTGGCTCTACCCGCTCACAGCAGCGTCAGGTATAATGCACTCGACGGGCTCAGAGCCCGCAGTCCGCTGCCTCCCACATCCCAGGGCTCTGGCCCCCGCCTTCTGCCTTCTGCAGCCTCCCTCTCCTCCCAGCAGGCTGGCCCAGAGCCCAGGCAGAGGCAGCAGTGGAAGGAGTCCCTGAGGTCACCAGGCTGAGGTCCTGGGAGCAGGGTAGACAGGCCACAGGGTCCAGCAGTGACCACTGTCTCCTGTCTGGCGCAAGCTGTTGACTCTGGGACAGGCGTTGATTTATACCCTGGGCCTCCCTGTGGTCATCTTTCACATGAGGACAGTAATAGCTAAGTTGTAGAGTTGTGGTGTGGCTGTGAGAAGTCCAGAGTCCTCTTAGGGACATCAAGTCCCCAAATCATAATGGAATGTACTTAGGGCTAACCTGATCCCTGTAGTGATACACAAGTTCTAGTGGGGGCTTCCTTAGTGGCCCACTTGGTGCTAAGCCTTTTACAAGCTACATGAGGTGGCTTCTCTTATTCTTTTTTTTTTTTTTTGTAGTACCAGAGATTGAACTTGGGACCTTGTACTTTGTTGAGATATATCCCCAGCTACTACTGGCTTCTCTTGTAATACCCATTTTACAGTTGATAACATTGAGAGCCAGAAATGTGAAGTGACAGAGCTCCGGGACTAGAACCCAGACAGTCCACCAAGCACTGGGGGACAGAAGGGGACAGGAGCAGTTCTGCCTGGATGGGCAGAGGTGGAGGACAGCAAGGTTCAGGAAGCCCCTTCTGGCCTGAGCGCTGGGGATGGACATTTACTTCTGCAGCCTGAGGAGGAGGAGCAAAGGCCGGGCTGGGCCCCAGGCCTGCCCCACCTGTGGAGCATGGGGGGCGGCTGGGGTGGGCTCTCCTTGCCTCAGGAGAGGCCTGCCCAGCCCTGCAGCAGCCCTCTTTCCTGAGCGCATAAACCTGTCTCCTTAGCCCCACCTCCAAGAGGCTGTTTTGTTGCTCCTCAGTTCTCCCATCACCGAAGCTCCAATAAGCCCCATCTTTATGGCCAACGGCAGACACATTGAGCTGGTTAGGGAGGCTCCCTTGCCTGGTGTTTGCCCAGTGTCTAAGAGGAGGCTGGGGCCCTATTCTCACCGCTCTGTGACAGAGCTGAGCATCTTCTTTGCTTTTTAATAGTTCTGCTCCAGGAGCTGGGACCCCTAACCTCTTCTCCAATCTTTGGTTATAGCCCGTTAGTAATTCCACATCCATATGGTGTGTAGAAGGTTTCCTAGTTCTTGGGAGTGCTGGCTGTTATGACTCTATCTGGGGTGGCATCAGGGGACCAAATCACTTGCAGAGGTAGCTAGAAGAAGGGTGGGAATGGGGCAAGTGTGTCAGTCCCGTTTCCATGGCTGGGACAAAGTACCTGACACCTGGATTTAAAAGAGAAAAGGTTGATTTGGGCTCATGGTTTCTGAGGTTTCCATTCATGGTAGGTTGACTCCAGGGCAGATGTGTCACAGCAAAAGAGCCTAGTGGAAGAAGCTTCTTAACACCTGGCAGCTGGGAAGAAGAGACGGAAGGGCTAGAGAGAGAGAGGGAGAGAGAGAGAAGGGGCAGGGGACAAGAGCACATCCTTCCAGGTCAGAACCCTGGTGATCCACTCCTCCAGTCAGGCTCCACCTAATGTTACCTTCAGCCATGAATTCATTGAGAGACGAACCCGTCTTAAGCCTGGTGTAGATTCAATCCATCACTTTCTACAAGCCCCAGCTCTGAGCACATGAACCTTTTTTGGGGGGGGATTTCATTTTTTTTTTTTTTTACAGTCCTGGGAATTGAACCCAGAGCTTCACACACATAAGGCAAGTGCTCTACCACTCAGCTACACCCCCCCACCCTTAGGGGACATTTTTGATCCCGACTATAACATCAAATTACTCGATCTCTGTGGGCTTCCATTGCAGTATCTGTAAAATGCAGGCAGTAGGACTCATCTTCCAGGATGGTCCTCAGGAAGACAGGAATGCATTCAAATAAAGCAATGTAGCCTAGATGGTGTCCCCACAGAGCCAGCTGACGAGGGCTAGCAGTGATGGTGGCGGTGTCTGGCTTCTGGACTCCTCTTCCTCCTCCCCAGCAGAAGGCTGGCACTGGCCCACGGCCCTCATTCTCTGGCAAGGCTCACTTTGGTCTGGAAAGGTGCAGCGACTTCCCCTAAAGGGCAGCAAGCCAGGGGATGTGTAGGATGTTGTCCAGTGTGGGTGACAGACAGCAGCAGCTAGGGCAGGGGCCCCAGTACAGACCTGTCACCAAGTGCTTCCCCTCTCTGGACCCCAGCTTCCTCACCTATAAAATGGGTGAAGGGGGCCGGTCAGACAGCTCAGCAGACTAACGTGTCTGCTTTGGCAGAGCTCAGCGGGCACGGTAGGAGGGCAATTGAGACTGGGCCTGGTGGCGCATGCCTGTAATCCCAGCGCTAGGGAGGCTGAAAACAGGAGAATCACTACGAGTCACTACGAGTCTGATCTGTGTAGTTAGACCCTGTACACGCTGTCCTAAATTCATAAAAAGAAATAAAATAAAATAAAATAAAGTGGGTGAAGGCTTGGTTGGATTTCCAGGGCTCTAAGGCATCTCTGATTCTGTATCAGAGAGTAGAGGTAGGACTTAAATCACAAGAGATCCGGAATGACAGGAGGGACCACAGCCCCAGCCAATGGGGACTGGCGGTCCCAAAGGCTCCTACAGCCCATGACTCACTTAGTTTGTCTTGGTTTGATTTACATTTGAATGTGCTGGCGTGGGCTGCTGTGGGCTGCTCCTCCGACCCTGATGGGGGCAGAGTTGTGTCTTTCAGAAATTAATAGCAATCCTTATGGTTGCTGTTGTGGATAAAGGTACCGGTCTCCTCCCCTGCATCAGACACAATTCTGAGCCCATCCCTGCCACCGGACTCATTTCACCCTTGCAGTCTACTCTCCTACAAAGACACTATGGACAGCAGCGTGAGGCCCGGCTGTTAAGTGACGGCCCAACACTCCTGAGCAGGAGGACCCCAGCCCTGGGATGGAGTCTAATCTGCTGCAACTGGCAAAGCAGATTCTCCAGATTCACTGTTCAGTGCTGTTTGCCTGGCTGAGGCTGGGTCCTGTCCAACACCTGGTCACCAGACAGGGTGGGTCCAGCCCTGCTGGGCCCAGGGCAGCACAGTCTGGGCCGTCCTTTGGGGGAGAGGGTAGGAGGGAGAAGAGGTGTCCCCCACATCCATGATCTTTCCATCAGACAGTGGCCCCACCCAGTCTCAGGGTGGGGCGAGAGCTAATCCAGAGGGTTTAGGATGATCAAAACAGCAAGTTGAAAGTGGAAACCCACAGCATTTCCCCCACAATTCCCTCTGCCCCTTGAGGAAGGAGGTGTATGTGTGTGTTCGCGGGAGCTTTCAAGTTATTGGGAACAGAAAGGAGCCGCTTTCCTAGCTCTTCCTCCGTGTTGGAGGCCTCAGTGCAAAGTGCTATTATTAGCCTTGCCTTCTCTGGCTGCCAAACAGGCTTCCCCTCCAAGAAGTCATTAAATGTGTTATTCTCTGCAAAATAAAAGCATGCATCCATGTTTGCAGCCTCTGACCACCGTGCTATTAATTTTTTTTTTTTCAATTTTTACAGTTAGGAAGCTGTATCCCATGGAAAGTGAGGGGTCAGGGAGCCACCTTGGGGCCTCTGGGCCTTGCATGAGGCTATCGTTTGTGGGCTTGGAGGCTATACATTGGGACCATAGCAGAGATGGAAAGATTGAGGTTCCTGGGGTGGGCCCCTTGGTGACCAGGTGACCAGGAAATGAGGGGTCAGCCGTGGGCCCCCAAGGGAGCTTGACGTGCCCTCTGGCAGGAGGACCCCTCTCTGAATTACAAACTAGAGCCAGGAACTGAACTGCTTTCTGAAATCCTTTCCTCTCCTTTGGTTTCTGTATTAAATTTGTTTCTAGTCTTGCTGGTTTCATTTGCTAAACATTCTCAGATCCATCTGCTTTTTTCTTCTTGAGCTGCCAGGTCCTGTCACAGCAGGGCGACAGGGCTGGTGGCACAGGACGGTAGCATGGGACTGTGGTCCCCATCCTGACTGCTGTTCCTGAAGCTGCGACCTGGGGCTGGGGCTGTCAGGTATGCAAGAAATCAAAAAAATGCAGGATGCCTGTTTGAATTTAATAAGCAACGTGTGGGATATATCTATACTTATTAAAATTCTTTGCATATCTGAAATTCAAATTTAACTGCTC